CTGTTTCGTCTCCTGGATGTCCCTGCAAAGCCACAGCACGATATTTCCAAACTGCCCCTTCCTGCTCAGCTGAGGCATCAGGAAACCCCCCATCCTGCAACTGCTCTGAGTGTGGGGGTGCCCCTTGAACCACAGAAGGGGGAGAATCAGCTGTGCTATTTACAGTCCCCTCATCTTGTCAGGGAGGATTTTTGTGAGCTCCTTCTGTTCCCTGAAAGATGGTGCAATAATGTTCAGTTTGAGCCTTCCATTTCCCAACAGGAGCTGGCTGGGCCACCCCGTCAGGGGGTGGGGTTCCTGTCAAAACAGGCTTGATGGCCTTAAAGGGTCCCCTTCAAATCAGACACTGCCGAGGGACAATTTTTCCTGCTTCCCAAAAATCAGTGCTCTCCAAAAATAAGCCCTTTCCCCAGGGAGAATATCGGTTTTGGGCATCTTTGACACTGCATGAATAAAACCCTACAGTCCTGGTGGGGACAAGTAGGTTCATGCCCCAGTGTGGATGTGCTGGTGTTGGATCATGTTGGAGCTGTGGTTGAAGCCTCACAATGGTACAGGCCTCATAGAGCCCAAATACCTCATAAAAGAGCTCTCATCATGAAAGCTCTGTCTTCATAACACCCTTCCATGTCGTAATGGTGCTCTCCTCAGAAAGCCCATAAACCTCATAAGAGGCTCTCCTCATAAAGTCTCCTCATTAAGCCCATCCACCTCATAATGGGGCAGCCTCATAAAGGCACTGTCCTCATAACCCTCACATACCTAACAGTGCAGGCCTCATAAGGCCCCTGTCCTCATAAGGCCAATAAACCTCCTCATGGGGCTGCCATTATAAAGGAGATGTTCTCATAAATGCCATGAACCTCATAAAGACTCTAGCACTGTCCTCATACACCCCATACACCTCATGATAGAGCTCTCATCATAAAAGATCTCTCTGCAGAAAGCCTCTCTCCTCATAAGGGCCATGTCCTCATAAACCCCATAAACGTTGTTGCCTAAAAGGCTGCAGAGGAAAAAGACTCCAGGCCCAACTGGGCAGGAGGGCAGAGAAGCAGCAGAGGTTTCCATGAGCCTTCAGGCTCCAGGAACACAAACCCACACCCATCCCTTCCAACACAGGGTTTACAGTTTTTATAATGATTTCCACCCAATGCCCGTCCCGTCCCCGCCCCGGTTCTGCCCCGTTCTGCCCCAGGAACGCCCGTGGGGAATTGAGTCTGGGGGAGTTCGGAGCTTTGAGCGGCTGCAACTACAACTCCCGGCGTGCCCCGCGCGGCAAAGGGGGCGGGGCGGGGTCTCTGCCGGCGGGGCGCGCGCACAGCCCCGCGGTGGCTGCCGGGAAAGGGATGGCGGCGGCGA